TCCCTCTCTCCCCTCCCCCCCAAGAATGTCCTTTCCGTTTGCTTGTTGTAACAACTTCAAAAAAGTATAGTTGTTATATCTTCTTCCCTTCCCCCCCGTTTTTTTTTTTTTTGTGTATGTGGGTGAATTAATTTGTTTATTTTTTAGCTCCCACCAATGAGTGAGAACATGTGGTATTTCTTTTTCTCTGCCTGACTCTAAAATCAGGTTTTTTGTTGTTGTTGAGTTTTTAGTTTTTTATGTATTCCGGATATTAATCCTTTATCAGGTGTGTAATTTGCAAATATTTTCATTTATTCTATGGGTTGTCTTTTCACTCTGATAATGTCCTCCTTTGGTGTACAAAAAATTTTTAATTTTGATGAAGTCTAATCTGTTTTTTTCCTTTTGCAGCCTATGCTTCTGATGTCAAATCCAAAAAATCACTGCCAAATCCAATGCGATGAAGCTTTTGCCCTGTGTTTTCTTTTAAAAATTTTATAGTTTTAGGCCTTACATTTAGATCTTTGAACCATATTGAGTTAATTTTTTTAATATGGTGTTAGAGTCCAACTGCCTTTTATGGTATGTGGATATCCAGTTTTTCCACCACCATTTGTTGAAAAGACTGTCCTTTCCCCATTGAATGATCTTGGTACCTTTTTCAAAAATCACTTGGCCTATACATGAAGGTTTATTTCTGGGCTCTATATTCCATTGGTCTATATCTTTATGCCAGTACCACACTATTTTCATTATTGTAGCTTTGTAGTAAGTTAGGAAGTATGAGACCTTCAACTTTTTTCTTCTTTTTCAAGGTTGTTTTGACTATTAAGGGTCCTTTGGGATACCATGTGAAATTTAGGGTGGAGTTTTCTATTCTTGCAAAAAAACCTCATTGTGATTTTGATAGGGATCGCATTGAATCTGATTGCTTTGGTGATATTGTCATCTTAATGTTAAGTCTTCCATGAACACAGGATGTCTTTCCATTTATTTATGTCTTCTATAATTTCTTTCAGCAATGTTTTACAGTTTTCAGTGTACAAGTCTTTTACTTCCTTGGTTAAGTTTATTCCTAAGTATTTTACTCTCTGGTATTACCATAAGTAGAATTTTCTGAATTTCCTTTTCAGATTGTTCATTGTTGGCATACAAAGACAGCTGACTTTTGTGCACTGATTTTGTATCCTGCAACTTTCTGAATTTCTTTATTCTAACAGTTTTTTTGGTGTGGAATTTAGGGTTTTCTAGATAAGATCATGTCATTTGCAAACAGATAATCTTCCTTTCCAATCTGTATGCCTTTTATTTCTTGTTCTTGCCTAATTGCTGTTGCTAGAACTTCCAAGCTCCAAGTTGATTGGAGGAGGCAAAAGCAGGTATCTTTGTCTTGTCCCTGATCTTAATGGAAAAGCTTTCAATCTTTCACTATTATAATGTTGGCTGTGGGTTTTTCATATATGACTTTATATCATGCTGAGGTATTTTCCTTCTATTACTAGTTTTTTAAAAAACCTTTTTATTATGAAATGGTGTTGAATCTTGTCAAGTGCTTTTTCTGCATGAGTGGTGGTGATCATGTGGGTTTTTCCCTTCATTCTGTTAATTTGTGGTGCATTACATTGATTTTCGTATGTTGAACCATATTTGCACTCCAATAATAAATCACACTTTGTTATGGTGTATCTTCCTTTAAATATGCTGTTGAATTTGCTTTGATATTTTTGGATCAATATTCATAAGGGATGTTGGTCTGTAGTTTTCTTGCCATAGTGTCTGTATTAGTCCACTTTGTGTTGCTATGACAGAAATACCTAAGACTGGGTAATTTATAAAGGAAAGAGGTTTATTTGGCTTACGATTTTGGGACAGCTGCATCTGGCATGGGCCTCAGGCTGCTGCTTCTCATGGCAGAAAGTGGCAGGCAGCCGGTGGGTACAAGCAGATCACATGGCAAGAGGAAGCAAGAGAGAGGATGGAAGAGAGAGAAGGTGCCAGGGTCTTTTTTAAGCAATGAGCTCTTGTGGGAACTGAGCAAGAACTCACTCATTTATCCCTCCCCCAGACAGAACATTAATCCATTCATGAGGGATCCACCCCCATGACTCAATCAGTTTCCAACACTGCCACATTGGAGATAAAATTTCCACATGAATTTTGGAGGGGACAACACATCCAAACTCCATCATTCCCCCCTTGCCCCCCAAAACTCATGTCACTCTCACATACAAAATACAATCATTCTATTGCAACAGTCCCAAAAGTCTTAGCTTGCTCCAGCACCAACTTAATAGTCCAAAGTCCCTCTGAGACCAAAAGCTCCATCAGTGTCTCTTCTGGCTTTCATATCAAGGCGTGCGGGCCTTAAGGGATGAATTAGGAAATGTTCCCTCTTCAATGTTTTGGAAGCGTTTGAAGAGTATTGGTGTTACCTGTTCTTTAAATGTTTGGTAGAATTCACCAATGAAGGCATCTGGTCCTGGCTTTTCTTTGTTGGGAGGTTTTTAATTATTGATCCAATCTCCTTAATAATTATAGGTCTGTTCAGGTTTTCTATTTCTTGATGATTCAATCTTGGTGTAGGTTATGTTTCTAGGCGTTTGTCTGTTTCACCTAGGCTATCCAGTTTGTTATGCATACAATTGTTCATAGTACTCTTTAATTTTTGTACAATTGGTAGAAATGTCCCCACTTTCCTTTGATCTTAGTTTTATTTCTTAGTCAGTTTAGCTAAAGATTTGTAAATTTTGTTGACCTTTTCAAAAAATTAACTCTTGGTTTTGATTTTCTCTATCCTCTACTTCTGCTCTTTCCTTCCTTCCTTCTGTAAGTCTTGGATGTTGTTTCTTTTTCTAGTTCCCTAAGTTGTAGAGTTAAGTTGTTGATTCGAGATCTTTTAAATG